CAGCTACGCGGTTTAGTCTAACGCGGTTTTGTGGTGGAACCTTGAAGCCTCAGAAACTCAGTAAGTAAATAAATGGAATACTCCCAGAGAGGGAAATATCTCTGGTAAGCATTTTTTTTTGGGGGGGGGGGATTTCTCCACCATACTTCAAACATGAAAAACAAGCCAAATGTTCAACAATGTTTACAAAAGACTCCCCCCCCCAAATTGAGTTCCTAAATGATCAAAAATCATTATTTCATAATTGCCCAACATTGTATCTGTGCCTAAATAGGTCTTTCATTAACTAAGATCGTTACAATTACTTCTGCTTTCCAAAATATGTGTTGAAAAAAAGGCATGATTTGAGAGGTAATTATTTTTAAAACAGATATCATTTTCATTGTATCTCAATCAAGGTATAGCAACAGACAGGACTACTCATATGATTGTGCCAAATTTAAATATATTATTATAGTAGTAGTAGTAGTAGTAGTAGTAGTAGTAGTAGTAGTAGTAGTGGCAGAGGTGGGTTCCTACCGGTTCACCCTGGTTTAGCTGAGTAGGTAGTAACTTGGCCTGCCACACCCCTGAACCAGTTCTCTTGGCAGCAACATCTTGTTGCTGCCGACTGTAGCAGCAGTCGGAACCCATCTCTGACAGGGATGGGTTGCTCCCGGTTCTAACCGGTTCAGCAGAAGGGGTTTCTGAAATTTACCATGTCTTTTAGAAACTGTTCCTGCGGTGGGACAGTACCGGAATGCCTACCCCAGCCCTCTTGCTCACCCCCCACCCATCTGGTCGCCACTCACTCACACTCCTCCCGCCTGTCCACACATGTTTGCCTTCCCGCCATGCTCATTGATTGGCTGGCTCACCAATTGCCCTGCCTGTCTCTAAGAACCCAATTAAAACTGCAGCATGAACAGCCCACTTACCTCTTTTCCTGTTTGGCTTTTGCGTCATTACTTGCTGATCGGGTCCTCCTTCACTTCATTTTGGCTTCCCTGCTGCTATTTCTGCCTCCCTCAGGTAAGCAACTAAGCGCGAGGGGCGGCGGCGATGGTGATGGAGCCTACAGTGTGTGAGCCTGGGGACTTAACAAAGAAATGCTTTCCTTCGCGGAAGCCGTGGGTGAGCATACATCGCATGGCTGAAAGGAAGTGGGGGGTGGGGGTGGGTGGCAGCAGCAGCCTACAGTACGCCAGCCCAGGCCTTCCTTCGCGAAAGCCGCACGCTCGTGTACATCCCGTGGCCAAAAGGAGGTGGGGGATAGGCAGTGGCAAGGGGAAGCCAGCTGGTGCAGCCTGCCGCATCTCTGTGCTCTGGGTGAGTCTGGGGATCCTTTGGGGCCTTTGTTCCAGCAGATCCCTGAGCTCCCTTAGACCGCAGGCCTGCATTTAAAAGTATTGTGTATAGAATATTTTTAAATGTTTTTTTTTAATTTATTGTTGATAGAATATTTTCTCAAATGGTCTTTTTAAATGTATTGTGTATAGAATATTTTTAAATGATTTTTTAAATTTATTGTTGATATAATATTTTTTCAAATGGTCTTTTTAAATGTATTGTGTATAGAATATTTTTAAATGATTCTTTTATTTATTATTTGTAGAATATTTTTAAATGCTCTTTTTAAAATTAAAAAAACATTTAAAAACATTCTACATTTAAAAGTGTTGTGTATAGAATATTTTAAATGATTTTTTTTAATTTATTGTTGATAGAATATTTGGTTAAATGGTCTTTTTAAATGTATTGTGTATAGAATATTTTTAAATGGTTTTTTTAAATTTATTGGTGATAAAATATTTTAAATGGTTTTTAAAAATTTTACATTTAAATGTATTGTTGATAGAATATTTTTAAATGGTTTTTTTAAATGTATTATGTTTAGAATATTTTTAAATGGTTTTTTATTTATTGTTGATAGAATATTTTTAAATGGTCTTTTAAAATGTATTATGTTTAGAATATTTTTAA